CTTAAAAAAACAAGTCTAGCTGGTCACCTAGTGGTGCATAATGCTAAAAGAGCTAGAACTTCTGGCTGCCAGACAATCTTAGGATCTTCTGTCTATACTACACACAACTCCCATACGATAATTAATCAATTAATTGCATAGGCAAATCTTGATGATTCCTGATGATTATGTAGCCAAAGTGGAGTCTCTTTGCTACAACATAATATCATGATGGCATCACATCATCCCCTCGCCACTCTGACCTTGTCTAGGAGCTATCCGGGGACAAAGCGTGCTTTACTTTTATTTATTTAAAACATTTAGATCCTGCCTTTTGTCCTTAGACTCCATTGAGCAACAGTATAGCCACAAGCTGCAAGTACACCAAAAAACATACATTGATCGATCGATTTGACTTTTTATCCCGTTCTTCCCCACACACAGGGCTCAGGGCGGCTCACAGCAATTAAAAACACAGATAAAATAATAAAAAACATTCTACAGTTCTACAATTTGCTCATTTGGTACACCAAGATGGCCCATGAACCTAGGAGCACGCTCCGATGGGTCTATAAAAGTGCCCAAGGTTTAGAAAGAGCAGTGGGCGATCGCCCCCCAGCAGTCACTGAACAGTCCAGGTCAGGAGGGTGGAGCAAGGGAGATCAGAATAGACGAGACAGCAAAGGTTGACGGCAAAGATTGAAACAAACACACAAACTGAAAGCAAAAATTGTAAACCAACCCAGACTCAAAACACACCCAGATGAAAAACAAATACGCAAATTGAAACCACAGCAAAATCTGCCTAGGCAAACTCTACCCTTCCTTTATGTAGCACCAAAGCAGCAGAAGATGTGACGTCAGGCAGACAATGAACCCATGGGGAGCAGCCTTGAAAGCCTCCGCCCCCCAAAAGTCCCTCTTTCCTCCCAAAAATATCCGTAGGCCATGGCTCTGTGGTAGATCATCTGCTTGGCGGGCAGGAGGTCCCAGGTTCAACCCCCGGCCTCTGCTCTTTAAAGGATGTGGTAGTAGGTGATGTGGAAGACCTCCGCCTGAGACCCTGGAGAGCCGCTGCCAGTCTGAGTAGGCAAGACTGACTTTGATCCAGTATAAGGTAGCTTCATGTGTCACGTGTATGTCTAGCCCCCAACAGTAGCAATGTTTGGCAGATGTTCTGCACTTCCTATGCAGACAAACTAGTTCCCAAGATCCCATCTCCCTTCCGCAGGCCCCAGAAACAGAACTCAGGGTGAGGCTCTGGACATGAAATGGTGCCGCTTAGGCCAATCAGTTAATGGCAACCAGGGGTCATTTCCTGCAGGAGCGCACAGGAGCGGAGCTCCGGCAGTAAAGAGCCCAGGGGGCGGGCACATGCAACAAGCCCCCCCTGCTCCCAGCAGCCCTCAGTCAGAGCAAGAAGCAGCCAGGTAAGTTGCAGAGCCCCCCCCCCGACCCCCTGGTCCAAAACAGTTCAGTGGCACCTTTAAGACCAAGTTTTATTCAGGTACAAGCTCTCCCTCCTCTGCAAGGACAGATCTGCGAGTCCCCCCCCCCCGCAATAGCTAGCAGTCCAAAACAGTCCAGTGGAGCCTGAGTGGTGGGTGTTGCCTTCTGACACACTTCCTGTGATGTCAGAGGGTGTGGCATATGCAAATAAGTTATGCTAATGAGTTATTTTTAGTTATTTATAAGTTCAATTTATAACCCGCCCTCCCCGCGAAGCTAATGAGCTCCTGCACCTTTTTTTCTACTAAATGACCCCTGATGGCAACAGTCACTGAGGTCTGAGAGAGAGAGATTCATGCAGTGCCCCTCCGAGCGGTGTCCCTTTTCCTTCCTGCCAGCAAGTGCGTGATCACCATTCAGTCCTGCAGAGAACGATTCTGCGCTGCCATCAGTGCCGGTTAAGGCAAAACTCTTGCCCAGTCTCTCCGCTACTTGGGGTTGTCTCACTCTGGGAGTGCTCAGACATTTCTGAGCCAAATTTAATTTCTCTCCTCATGACAGAGCAAAATTTATTTGCTTACATTATAATTATATCGCACAGGGCATGAACAGCAATTGTTTCCACCCTTCTCGCCACGACTCAGACCTCATCCGGAGTCTCGTGTCGAGTTTAAGAAAGATGTAGACAAACAGGAACAGCCCAGAGACGAGCAGTGGAGATGATCAGGGGTCAGGAAAATGAGTCCTGTGATGAAAGGCAGGCCTGTGGCCAGGATTTTTTGAGTCGGGGGGCGTTTAAATTTCTTAAAGGGCACTGGCTAATTGAATTAAAGGAATACCCAACTCCTTCCCCACATCTGTTGCCACTCAGGGTCCCCGGGCTAGATGGGAAGTCATGGGGCCTTGCCAGTAAGTGAGGGGGCCTAGCCCCGAGATGCCCCACTGTCCCCTTGTCCTTCTTTAGCATGTAGTCGCATCTTCTGTCCTGATTGCATCACACTCTGTTTCCCTGCACCTCTATCGTCCTGGGTAGGGGACAGAAGACCACTCAAACCAACAGCAGGAGGATGGATGGATGGATATCCTGCAGCCATTGTCTCTGAGGGCCTTTCAGTGTCGCAAAAGGGATACTGGTCCGTGTTGTTCTCATTCCTCGCTGACTGATTAGAGCATCGGTCTCTTAGTTTGCTGAGTTGGTAACCAAGGATGAGCCTGTGATTGTGCCGGAGTGAACAGTGCATGATGAAGTGAAAAGTTTTACAGAGAGGCAAACAGGAACTTGCGTCCGGAGGAGAGGTTTTGGCTATGCTTTTGCTTCTTATATAGAAGGGCTTATAGTTCTGTAAATTAATACTTTAAACATCTTGGACCCAAACTTTTTTTTTTTTATGTTGGAGAATGTTGGCTGGGGAATGGTTCTTCTCCTAGGATCTAAGCAGATAACTGGGCTTCTTTTTAAATGGGCTCGCTATACCCCCCCAGGACCCCCCCCCCAGGTGGGATGTGCAGATGGGGAGCCGGGAAGCAGCCCAAAGAGAGGCTGCGCGTTAGCCAATAGGAGGAAGCAAAGGCAGGATGGGGACCTGAGGTCACCTAAAGAGCAGGTGGGGGCAAAGACAGTATTAGCCTCCTCAGCGGTAATTGCCTTCCTTGGGAGTAGAGACTTCCCTTGGGAGTAAAGGCCTACTCAGGTGTAGGCCAGGAGACCCAGGAGGCGGGCATGGCTGGAAATAGGGGAATAAAAGACAAGAGCAGGAGGAGGGAAAGAGAGAGCCAGCTGTAAGGGGCAGGAAGTAGGGTTGCCAGTCCTCGGTTGGAAAATACCTGCAGACTCTGGGGGTGGATCCAGGAGAGGGCGGGGAAGGCTCTCAGCACGGTACAATGCCGTAGCGTCCACCCTTCAAAGCTGCCGTTTTCTCCGGGGGAGCTGATCTCTGTCAGCCGGAGATCAGCCGTAAAAGCGGGAGATCTCCAGGACCCACCTAGAGGCTGGAAACCCTAGCAGGAAGACAGACAGCAGATGAGGCCTGGGAGGTCGGAAGGGACCAGGGGGACAGTATCCCTGCCCAAAAGAGCGGCGAGTAGCTCTCTGAAGGCCCTGCTGCCTTCAAGCCTAACACAGTCAATCCAAATCAAGCCCCCAGTCAAGGGATTCTGGGTAGAAACCCAGACCTAGGATCAGAGCCAGACAGATGCACAAGGAGAAGAGAAGGGATAAGAAGGCTTTCAAGTGGAGCGTGGGATTCTGTTGTGGTGAAAAAAAGCAAGAAACCACAGCCTTACTGCCTGTTATTGGTAGGGTTGCCAGGTCGTACCTGTCTGCTGGTGGGGGGATCCCTCTCTGTTCCCAGGAGTTTTCGTGTGCATGCCGCGAAGATGTCACATGGAAGTGACATCATCATGCAGGGCATGTTGTGGGGGGATGGTCTAGCATTTAAGAAAAAAACTCTATGGTAACCATAGAGTTTTTTCCTCTCGAAGGCTAGAGCGTCCCCCATGCAACGTGCCCTGTGTGATGACAACACCTGCAGGAGACATCACTGCACCAGGCAAGTTGGTGCAAATGGGGCTCTTTGGGTGTGGGGCTCTCCCCACCGGCCAGCTGTGCAGTGGTGGATTGGGCCCCCCAAAAGCAGGTAAACCCCTGCCTCCATCAGGGGAATGGCAACCCTAGTTATTGGACAAGCTGAAGATAGATGGAACACACGGGTGGTGAGGCAGTCCCTGGCCCTGGGGGCTTTAGAGTCCTCCCTCCTGGAGTTTTCTCCACCTCCTCAGAAAGCCTGAGTTGAAGAATCCACTCCATTCCAGCGTACAAGGGGGAATTCCACAGGGGTCTGCCATTTTGGATGGCAGCGTTACATATTTCTCCATCTGTATCTGTGTCCTTAAACTTGGTTATCTCAGGGAGGGCTGTTCTATTTTGCTTTCTCTTTGTGGACCAGGCCATTCCCTAGCTTCCCAGATGTCACATGGGAGGAAGTCTGATGAGTCCAATGGGCCGCTGGCCTCCCACTGGGTTCTCTCTACACAATTCTGTCCATCACCCAGTCCTCTGAAGTTTGCCATTTGCCCCCCCCCCCAAGTTCAGCTTGAAAAAGCACGCTGTATGAGCTCCTTTGCCTGTTCAGCTCATTTCACCAACAACTTTGGAAACTTCATTTGTCCCTGTGTGTTTTCTCAGCGATTTCAAACACGGCCCCGAGAGCTAGCAGAAAGCCCATCAGGGACCCACATTCTGAGAGCCGCTGCCCATAAGAAGAAGGGGGGGGGGGAGACTGCGAATCCTCCAGCAGCCATGCTGGTTGGCTGCCGAGTGCTAATCTCACAAAGCTAATTATGCATTTGTGTTCCTTTCATCATTTTCATTTGTCGACTGAACGCACTTTCCCAGAGGATATTGCTTCCATAAAGTGCTGAGTCAGTTCCTTTCCAGTGTAATTGGATAGAGGGGAAATGGTTGATTGCCTTCATCTTGTGAGTCCCCCTCCATTTTTAACCTCTGTTCTTTCTTTCTGTTTTTCCCCCCTTCTTGCTTTCTTTATTAATCGTCAGCTCTGCTTTCTTTTTAGTTACGGACGACTTTATGCTGCAGACCCCTACCACCACACACTTACTCCCGCAACCACCTACGGCGTTGGTGCCGTGGTAAGTGCCGATTTCCGTCTCCCCTTCCTTCCCCCAACTCCCTCCCCCCCCTCCTCTGCTATACCCGGTTCTTAGCATGGTTGACATCTTCTCACTTTCCCCTTAATTGAATTTGTCTCTTATGCTAACGGCAGCTAAAATGCCACATTAATCCTTCCCGGTAAACTTGATAAATGTCTTAATTTCTTGGCAATGTAGTGCATGTAAGTTATTTTTATTTTTTTTTAATTTTGCGAATATCACCTAGCTGAGCACTTGCCTTAATGGAATAATTAGTCATTTTGATAATTAAATCCATCACAAATGAAATCCTTTCATGGTGCTGGCCATTCCTTTTTATATTTTTTTTGGCCTTGAATTTACATAGCCCCAAGGTTCGAGTCACACCAGTGATTATAGCACAAAGAGCAAGTAACCAAGATCCTAGGCCCTTACTGTCAGTCACCCCAGATCCCTGCTATTTCTTTCCTTATTATAACTAATATATAAAATTATCGCTGTCCAGAAGTGGGGAGGGGTAGACAGTGGGGGAGTTAGACCACTCCGCTGTCAGTTTTGGATACAGAAAATGAACCTGGAGATATAAATCTCGATTTCACATCCATAACTGCCACAATGCACCCCTCAAGGACCCCACGGATAACTCACCCATACATTCATTCTCCCCATAACCCTTCGCACTATGACAAAGTTTATCTAAGGCCAAGTACAGAACCCCATTTATGTCTTCATCAGGATTGCTCCAGTGCTAGTGGCGCCCCAATCTTGAAGCTCCCCCCCCCCCAGCCACAGAACCTCTGTCTTCCTCGGATTCAGTCTTAGTCTATTCTTTTTTAACCATCCCGACGTGGCCTCCAAACCCTCGGCCAGATTTTGAGATTTGGTTGCAACCAACTGAAGCCCTGTTAATTCCAGGAGTCGTGTCTAACTTTTGCTGAAATGGTGCCCATTATCTCCAGTCCCCAACAGGGCGCCCACGGTAACAATGGTGCTGACACCATTCCTGGTGCTCACCAAGTATTTTTAGAAAGGGGGGGGCCTTTAGACCAGCAGGGTTCTGATTGGCTGTGCCGCTTTTTAAAATGCTGAAAGTAAGCTGTGTGAATGCAAGGGGAAAAATATTTTTAAACAATGTCTTCGTTTTAAAGGGCATCCTGTTAAACTGAAGAGTTAACGCTTAGAGTTATGCATGGCTTCACTCCCTGACATTTTGTGGTTTGCTCTGCCTCTTGTAGCAGCCATTTTGTGATTGTGCCCAGCACCCCCCTCCCCAAAGGTGCCTGCCAGCTCAAAAGAGGTTGGAGACCCATTGTTTAGTCTGTGTAGTCTACTGTAAAACCTATTTTAATTTAATTCGCCCCACAAGTGATCAGCAACAGGTGTGGAAAGGTGTCCTAGTAACTGTGATATAGGAAGCGGCTCTGTACACATTTCCCTTTCCGCATGTAGCATGGATGGGAATCTATAATGATTTTTAATTCAGATTATTCATATGAGAAACAGCTTATTTTAGGTATTGCAGGGGGGGTTGTCAGAATGTTGTACATCAGGGGTGGCCAAACTGCAGTTCGGGAGCCGCATGCGGTTCTTTCACACGGTCTAATTTGATGTTAATAAAAAGCAAATTTGTTTATTTTTCAATAAAAATGTGTGTGTGATATTTGTTTATGTCTTGTGGCTCGCAAACATCTGACATTTATTCTGTGTGACTGTTATGTTAAGCAAGTTTGGCCACCCCTGCCGTACATAAGTTTTCGTTTTTTGGATTCCAAAATGAAATCCACATGTTCATAGTGGCCGATGAGCATCCCTAACAGATCTGTGGGGGAAGGGAAGGCAGAGACTGTGGCTTGGATCTTCAAGCACCCTTGAGTTGTGGGAGGCCAGACGAAGACAATTTCCTTGCCGCGCCAATGGAACAGCACCTTAGGATGCTTTTATGTGCAAACTGTTATAAGCTGTTGAACCCCTTATGGTTAACAGTGCACATGAAAGGCACAGCGGTGCTTCGAATTTGCCACTTAGAGAAAGATGCGTGTAGGAGCAGCTAGATGCACAGCTAAGCCAATGGTGAATACAAGTAAGCGCTTGATGCTCGACAGTGCCTTCAAATGTGCATCTCGAAATCTGCGTGTCAGGACCTGGAAGGCGAGGGCGCTGAAAAGTGCTCCCAGCACGGAGGATGTGGGAAAATCAACCCACTGAGTGGGGGGAAAGTGGTTTTGTACATACTTCATTATTAGTCACCCTTCTGAAGATTTCTTTGCTTCAGGAGACTTAAAGCCATGTAAATGAATGGAGATTCACGACCCAATTAAGCAAGCGCAGTTCCCTGGGTCAAGGCACTGGAGTTCAAGTCCTCACAAGGCAGTTTTCACCTCCCCCCATCTAACTTTTTATTTGAATGTCCTAGAACATGGCGACTGCTTGCCATGTGAGAGAAATTCCCTGCATATTAACATTTTCCCTGGCATGGTAAATATCAAAGGTCACAAAGATGCAAAAGATTCAACGGTTTTTTTAAAAGATGGAGAGGAATGACCTCCTATTGTTTTTTAAAAAGAAACCCTCACAGAGTAGAAACCCCGAGAGAAATTTTGTTCCTCTTAATTGAACTCTTTGCTTTCTTGGAAATTCCTCTGATGTTTCAATAGACCCAGAGAGGCTCAGGTTCCTTTCGAATTTCACTTTGGGTGAAATTCAGATGCAAAACACTTGTCCCAAATCTCACATTCATCAGCCCCGGACTCCCAGCAGGCACTCATGTGCTGGTGGGGGCAAATGACACCCGTGGCACTGCTGAAATAACAACCTGGGCTTTGAACCCTGCACGGCAGCCCCCCAGAAATGTGCTAGCCTTTAATTAAACTCCTTTCGCTTGCTTATCTCAAAATGCTACAGATGCCTCAGCAAGGGACCTCCACCTTTGCCTCGAACTTGCTTTGGTGGTAGCTCCTGCACAGGGTGGTGGGGTACTGTGGTGGCAGAATGCATTGCGTCATGTCAGAGGGTGGAATGATCCCGCAAAACTCCAGAGGCTCCGCGCAAATAGAAAGCTATCTCAGTAAGGAGAAAAGTTTTTATGCCCTCTTTTTGCCCAATGTGCCAGTTTTCTTTTTATGTGGAGTGTTTTATGCAAGAGAAATCTTCAAACCATACTGGTGCGGTCTGCCACCTCATTCTCCTTCATGTGCAGAGCAGACTTCTGAAAGCCAGTCTAGAAATAATCTGCCTAAACTCAGATGGAATGCCTGTGGATTCTTTTCTGTCCATGACAATATACACAGCATGGTGGACACATATACAGCTTTCTGGTCTTGAATGGAAGGCGATACTACAGATTTATTTATTTTTTTGTATATAAAACATAAGAAGAGCCCTGCTGAATCAGACCAGTAGTCCATCTAGTCCAGCATCCTGTCTCACACAGTGGCCAACCAGTTCCTCTGGAGGGCCAACAGCAGGGCATAGATGCCAAGGCCTTCCCCTGATGCTGCCTCCTGGCTCTTGGATTCAGAGGCTTAGTGTCTCTGAATGTGTGGAGGTTCCCCATAGTCACCATGCCTAACACCCACAGATAGATATCTCCACAGTTCAATCACTCTGTGTAAAGTAGCATTTCCTTTTGTCCCTCCTGAACCTACTGCCCGTCAGTTTCATTGGATGCCCAGTGTACAGATATCTGTGCGGAGATTATCTGTTAAAATGCCATCTCTAACTGCTGTTGGTTCTAGTTTTGGAGGCTGGTGGCTTGTGGATGCTACGAAATAAATACACGGGGCTGAATCTCGTGATCCGTGATCACAAGTGTGATTGTTTGCTAGGGGGAGGAGGAAGACCCTCTGATCCCTTCGTATCATTTCCACCCCAGGTTTGTCACTTTCCAGCCTATCCACAATACGGAGGATGCCAGCAGTAGCATTGTGCGTGGATACAGTTATAGCTTGGATTTGGGCCATTGCAAACTCTTGGATCATAGCCTCGGGGCCTGATCTGGAGCTCTGGGGGTGCATGGGTGCTTCTCTGTGAAAGGGAACCCTCCATGTGCAAAAAGGACTGCCTGTTATGCATAGAGAGTCCTGCATTCTTTGGGCCAAAAATCAGTAGGGAGCATTTGTGCAGCACCTCTTTGAACACCCCAACAAGCAGAGTTTCCCTTGAATATGGACAGTCTCGCCTGGCTGAAACTTCAGAGCAAATTTTCAGGAAAACCAAGACTTTTGATAACTGATAGCAAAACCGCTCCTTATCAGAAAGGCAATTATACTACAGATGGTTCTGAGTTTTTCAACCCAGCCGTTGGGAGTCGTAAAATCCCCATTTTGATATCATTTGTCCCTCTGTGCAAATCATAAACCACCAGTTATTTCTATGCCATTTTCCATTTTCTCCAATCTTTTCTCTCTCTAAAGCATACATACATTCCAACAAGATTTGTGCTGTGTCAGCACTGTGTGTACAAGTGCACTTTTACAAATTGTTGTAATGAAACATACGACATGCCCATCCAGTACAAATGAATCTGTAATCCTAACGGCCAAAAGTGGGAAACTGTTAATATAAATATTAACCCAATAGAAACAGGAACACGTTGTTTAGCCTTAATTAACACTTGCGGATTTTACTAAGATCAGCTAATTAATCAGTTAGTAGGAGGTGATTCACCAGCTAAAAATTCTCTAATCGGTCAGCAGCTCTGCTAATTGGTACCCCGGTTGCACACTTCTCAGTGGTGTCTGAACTTTGCTTGCCCACCAAGAACAGTAGTCACAGCAGAACAAATTTTGCAGATCTGGTTGTGAAGAAAGCGGAAGTAAAAAAACAATCCATCAAATTGCTTTGTTTCAGAATGCTTTTGCACCCTTGACTGATGCCAAGACTAGGAGCCATGCTGATGATGTCGGTCTCGTTCTCTCTTCATTACAGGCTAGTATATATCGAGGGGGATACAGCCGGTTTGCTCCATACTAAATGACAAAACCATAATACCCTTCCAATGTGGGGGAAAAGGAAGCTTTCCGAGGCCTGGGTATTGCAATACATGCAGTAGTGCATCATTTTAGCAACTCTAAACAAACAAACAAACAAAAATAAAAAAGAGGAGAAAAAAAATCTACATTTTTTATCTTATACCTCAGATATTTTGTTCTGTGTATTTTAATATTGTGGGTCTTTTAATTTATGAAGTTACATAGTTTGCTGACTGTAGAAAGTTTTGATTTTGTTCTTCTTAATTATTATTATTAATTCTTATTTATTTCCATTGTTGTGGTTGATCTAGAAAGCTGCTAGAAATGAATTTTAAAAAAATACTGTTTCGGGGGGCCACAATCAAGACCGCTATATCATGTAAATGAATTATATATGCTAAATATTAAGCTATTGGGATTTCCTCACTTGTTTTGTAAAAGTGTAAGTGACATATCTTTTTTATTATTATTATTATTTTCCTGCATCAAAACATTTATTTTAGTTTTCCAAAGGAAGGGGAAGAGAGGAGGTGAGAGTGGGGTTCAACTGAGACACACTTACAATAGATCCCCACTGCACCTACCTTCATTAGATCAGCTTGTCTCAAATGATTCACTGTTCCTTCAAAGCCAAAGGTTATGTTGTTAATTTTGAGGGGGCGGGGAGGGGGAGGGGGCGGGGCAGAGAAGAAGGGGGTGCTTGAAATGACACCTGTACATACAAATCTAATTAGAAGCTGTCCGAGACACCCTTTCAATGCATTCCACCAGGCAGTATTACGCGCCAGTCATAGACTAGTTCTTTAGGCAAAAAATAAATAAATAAATAAGATACCTGCTAGTTAGATCATGAACAAGCATTCTTTTTTATATTTCTTCCAGTATAATAAATTATTGATTTCATTGGAGACTTTTATATTATGGGAGGATTAAAAATTAATAATAATAATAAAGATTAAAAAAAAAGCACTGTTTCTATTTTTTTTCTTTTTTTTCCAAAAAAAAAATAGAAACGTAATAAAAACTTAAATTCTTTGTACCAGTTAAAAAAAAAGTGTATAAAAATTTACATCTGTGCAGTGGAATTATTCCGTTCAAGAGAAATGTACACACCTTATGACGCTTTAGATTTTCAGTCCAGTAGGCCAAAAGGTAGAGACAAACACATTTATCATTTTTACAGAATTTAAATGCTACTCATACTCAAAATTTATATATGCATTTTACGAGTAACTGCAACCATGGAGTAGAGATAATCATGGTACTTCCATCTGCTTGGTACTTTTTGAAACATGACCGTGTTGTGTAAGCAAACTGCAGTTTTTCAAGGTGTTCCAAGCCCCGCCCTCTCGTTTCATTTTCCAAACCCAATGCCATCATGGTTATTATTATTATTATTATTTATTATTGTTATTGTTATTACTACTATTACTATTATTTGGGCCCGAGGCAATGTAAAGTAGAGGCAACAACGGAAATGAGATTGCTATATACCAGAAAGTGCTAGTCCGACACTCCCCCAACACTCCCCCCCCCTCGTGGCACCCAAGAACAGGTGCCTACATGGCAGCTTCCAGCACAGCTGAAAAATTGCAGTTTGTCTGTCCATATGTTTGAAAAATCTTTCCATGTTGTCCTGTTTACAAGTTAACCTAATTTTGGGGTGTTTGTCAGGGGTCTTCTTGTTTTTTGTATTTAAAATTAATAAAAGCAGGAAAAAAAATAAAACCGTCTCGCCACGGTTTTGCTGCAGATAGTTATATTCTCATGTGTACCGTGCCGGCCCGAAATCAGGCGAGCACTTTAGAATGATCAATTCACCGCTGTGAACCTGCCAACTCGCTATAAACGATTCTGCTTTTTAAGAAGTGTTTGTGATCAGGCTTTTTCTCTTTGTCATCGTAATGTGCATGCAAATATGATCAGTTGAACAATAACCATCAATAAAGTTTCACAAGATTTGAAAACAAGGTTTCTGGAGCATTTCTATCAAATGCATG